TTTAGTGCTCACGCATATTTAAATTCTTGTAAGGGTTTGCCTTAATGCGTAATGTGAAAAGCAATGTAATTCATCTACATCTCCCTTTCCTCTTCTGCCTTGCTCTTTCCTGTCTCTTTGAAATTCTTCTCTTTAGCACTTTGACTTTTTGACAGTTCTTCAGATTTTTTCTTTGAAATTACCTGCTTTTAGTTTTTGTTGGTTGCGCACTCGCTCCAAACGCTCACGATGGCCCTAAGTTCGGGGTGGTTGTAGGAATGCAGTGAGTTTTTAACTAAATGTCGTTGCAATAATGGACACATTCCAAGTGCCGTAAATGAAAACGTCGTAACAAGTGGGGGAAATTTGTTTGACTTCGAAAATATTTGAATTTCTAAATTTAAATATAATAAAATTCTCTAGGCATATAAATAAAATAATTTAAAACGAAATTAAAATAAACTAAACAATTTAATAAAAATTAAATTAAATTGAATCAATATAAAATATATTAAATTAAATTCAATAACTTAAGCTAACTAAATTAAAATAAAATAAATCAACATAAAATAAAGTTAAACAAAACAAAAAATAAAGGGAATTAAAAAGTAAATAAAAATAAAACAAAATAAAATAAAATAAAATAAAATAAAATAAAATAAAATAAAATAAAATAAAATAAAATAAAATAAAATAAAATAAAACTAAAATAAATCCAATTAAATAAAAATAATCAAAGTTAATTTTTGATTTAAGTATTAAAAATTAAAAGCCCTGGTTGTTTGTATGAACTGAATATTTTTGTTATGCAAAGAAGAAAAATGGAAAACTTATTTAATTAATAAAATAAATTTCAACTAAATTTTTCTTCGAAGGGTTATTCACAATCGTTTAAATCAAAGAAAAAAGTTGGAAGATATATTCACAAAGGAGAGTAGGGAAATAGTTATGTCAAAACTTGTTATATCAGAAAGCATATTGAATAAAAATCGAATATAGTGAAAGGTTTGAAAAGTTAAGACTTGCCCTGAGACTTTCGTCTAACTTTCTGATTGAAGTTACTTTCGCCGTTGTCAATTAGAGAGGCATATACAATAAGAAGTGCCAATACTATAGCAGAAAAGTATACAACAAAGGAAGTATATCAAATGAGACACTTTCAACAACAAAGCAATGTAGTCAATTACCAACTACCGAAAGGTTTCCAAAGTCAGTCAAAGGAACTGATGAACTGGCAAATCACTGGCATGTAGAAAGGCAATCAGCACAAAATACTATGGTAGCAACAATCAAAAGCCTGGACTGACGTACTTGCACAAACGAGTATCGCACGCCTCCACCTCACTCAAATCGGACAAGCTGTCGAGCAATCAAGCCAACAGCTAAAGTATTTCAGTATTTACGATTTTACCAAAGTCCAAGCTGTTAGTGGAGAGCAATAGAGGAAGGTTCGCACGCCTTTAAATCCACATATACAGTTAAGAGTAGCACAATTTTAAACTGTACATATACAACCAAGCATATATTTGCAGATATTTTTATGCCAGCATTAAACTGCCAATAAACTCAGTGGCCACAACAACGTCACCACTACCACCACCACAAACGCTGGAGCATTAAATACCTTCCACACTAACATTGTCATATTTATTAACCATTATATAATGCGATATTGACAAGCTGACAAGTGAAATGTGAAGGTAACAACAACAACTGAGAAAATACACTTTTGCAATAACTCTCCATTTTGTTGCCGTGAGGTCCATTAATCGCCTGCCGCTTGCAACTTGGCACCGTTTATTGTGTGCAGTTGTGGGTTTGTACACCTTTCTTGCCATACATTGTGTTGGTATGTGTGGCAGCCACTCATGCATGCAACAAAATGTCGATGTCATGTCAAGCGCATAGTTATCTGGGGTGGTGAGTGGAGAAAGCAGGAGAAAAATACAAGGCTTATAACCTTAGCAGAAATCAGAAAAACAAAAAACAAGCCATATCTGAACAATCACTTGATGAGAATTATTTGTAAAAGTCTTCTGATTATAGATATTTTTTGTGTTGCATCGCTATTTATTGAAAATACCAGGAACACAAAATTTCAAAATTTTTTGTAATACAAAACCCTATTTTTGAGTAAGAAGCTATATGGAAGTTATAGGTAATAATCATACGGATAACTCTTTTTAAAATTATGCTTGTTATCTGTATGCACTTCAGGGAATGTCATATTTGTACTCGTCTAATTAGACAATTTTCGAATATTCACTTGTATGGGAACTGTGTCCTATTCTCGTCGATTTCAGCTTTTATTATTTACCGCCAGCTCTCTTATAATTTCATGTATCTTGGTTCTTAGTTGGATTTTTAATGACACCAAATAGCATTTTCGAACCCTAGTTTATAGGGCAGCCATATCTAGAAGTCAACCAATTTTGATGGTATCACCAAATAGTTTTTCAATTACGATTAGTAGTCCAATTACGAAATTTTATGAGTATACTTCTCAAACTAAAAAGTTTTGATCCAAAAATTTGTTTTCGAACAAACCACAAACCATTGCATGTGATCTATAGCTATTGGATCAAATTTCACCGACCTAACTACTTGGATTCATAAGTTATAAATCCGATTTTTGAAACAAAAATTTTCAAGTAAGAATAATATTTTTGTACGCCGAAGGTATAAAAAGACTATATAAAAAGGCCTCAGTAACAAAAAAGGTTCTTGTGATTTTAGAGGCTGAATTTAAGTTTGGTCTTGCAATTGGTTTTTAAAACGGAGCACTCACAGTTGACTGCAGTCCATTGTGGCTTTTATTATATTTCATACGCTCCTGCTTTCCTGCCATGCTCAACTCTCAAGTCAAGTGAACTGGAAAGAAATGATTTAGTTGCCATAAGGTGGCTTGTCGTACCATAACAACAATGTGACAATATTACTTGCAGCCATACACTTACATACATACAGATACCGCAGTAGACTTAACTGAGGGCAGTAAATTTAGCGGTGTGTATGTGTATGTTACAAAAGTATCGACCACATCAAGTTTATTAAATTGACAAGCAGCAATGAATTATAACGGTAAAGGACAATATCATTCACAGAGCAGGTAGTGGAAAGTTGCAAAAATAGTAGCAACAAAAATATAAAATACTCCAACAACCACAATGCCACACATACTCTCGCATATCGTTAAAAAGTGGTGTTGGTCAGTGCGTATGAGTAACTAAATATTAAATTGCTGAGTGCACTTTATAAATCAACCGACTCAATACAAAGCAACAACACACACACACACACACACCAGTACATGAATGTACATACGTTACTTGCATGCACCTAAAAATATTGACTTGAGTAAACTTTCTAATTTCAATTTAACATTCTTTTAAGTGAACTTTCTCCGCAGAACCTCAACCTAGCTAAGTGTGCCTCAGCAAAATATAACTTGTCAAATGTTTGTGGCAAGACATTACTTGCCGTTAGATTGTTTATAAGCAAATGGGTGTGTGCAATTATTGTTTTGTGCACTTATCTATTTGTTGTTGTTCTTTTTTTAAACTGGCCACCACCCACTTTTTTTCTATAATTTTGTACCTCGCTCTCGGGTTTGGTTATTACTTACAATTTGCTGTCTATTTTAATGACTGCAGTTAATGCCGTTGCTCTACTTGCACTCGACGCTGTGCAATTGTGCATTGAAATTAGATTGAAATTATTTGAGTTCGCTCAGTGCGTTCGAGTTTTTCAACAGTGTTGCGCGATATTTGTAAAATGATGCAAGGTGTGTTGAGTTAAAGGCAAAAAATTTAAGTTATATAAATAAAAGTAAAAAAAGAAACAGCTTTGGTTATGTAAAAGTCATAATATTTATACAAATAATTTTAAAAATAATCAAAAAATTACAAGTGCGAAAACATAACGAAAAAATCTCAAAATAGAAATGCATAACCAAGACGATTATAAAATCTACAAAAACTCAATAAAATATTTTCAGAGAAAGATAGATTAAAAAATTCTGATAATTCACATCTGAACTTATAGCATTATAATTTTTGGTTTTAATAAATATGAATTACCAAAATTATACATTCGAAAGCACTCAAACTTCGCAAAGAAAAGGGAGTAAATGAAAATATTTAAAATAATTAAAAGTGTATATTCTGCTTATGCTGTATTTGAGACAACACATTTTTCGAACAAAATAATCCTCTCAGTCTAAGTAAAGTTCTTGTTTATTTTTTTTTTTTTTTTATAATATAAGTTTATTTAATTTTTCTCATTTGTTTTGTTTAATTTATTCCATTTTTTATTTTATTCATACCAATATATTTTTCTTTATTTTATAATGCAAAATTTTATTTTATTTTGTTTTAATTTATTTTTTTTTAATTATATAATTTTTTAATCAATTTCATTTGATTTTATTTTATTTGATTTATTTCATTTTATTTTATTTTTTTCACTTAATTTTATTTGTTTTACTTTATTTTATTTTATTTTATCTTATTTAAGTGTATTTTATTTTATTTCATTTTATATTACTTCATTTTATTTTGTTATATTTTATTTTTTTAAATTATTTTGATTAATTTATTCCATTTTTTATTTTATTCATTCCAATCTAGTTTTCTTTATTTTATAATGCAAAATTTAATTATTTTTTTTTAATTTATTTTTCTTCAATTGTTTTTTTTTTTTTTAAATCGATTTCATTTGATTTTATTTTATTTGATTTATTTCATTTTATTTCATTTTTTTATTTTTTTACTTTATTTTATTTAATTTATTTTATCTTATTTAATGTTTTTTCATTTTTTTTTTATTTGATTTTATTCGATTTTACTTCATTTTTTTTGCCTTTTTATTTTTTTTCATTTTACTTCATTTCACTTCGTTTTATTTTATTTTATTTTATATTAATATATTTTATTTTATTTCACTTTTTTTATTATATTTAAATTAATTTTTCTATTCTTTTTTATTTCTTTTACTTAATTTTATTATTTATTTTTTTTTTCTAATTTTGTTTTTTTTTAGCTTCATTTTTTCCCATTATTCTTTTGGTTTCTGGCCTCTTCGGATTGAAATGATCTCGAGACAATTATTTAATAGCTATTGTACTTTTATTGTATTCATATATACTCAAATATACATAAGTTAACCATTACTGTTGCCTCAAATGCTCAAAGTCAAGAACTGCATTTAGTGCTCATAATTTTTAGCCATTATGAACTTATTCCTTAAATTAATTAAAATTTTCGTCATATTAACAGTTAAACCACCTTACAAGTGTCGCGTGCCACGGCCCGACATCTGAAAGCCTGTCGAAACTTTAGCGAGTTATGTAAGTAACCCTTCATGAGCTGCTTCTGAGAAATGCTCTCAAACGAGCCGCACTCAGTCAACACCCCACCGATGTAGAACAGTTTCGCCATAGACAACTGCAAACGACCCGCAGCCAAGAGACTATCCAAACGACGCACCAAACGCTCATTACCCTGCAACCATTGGTCGTACGTCTGCAATGCCAATTGCTGCGCCAGCAGCTTCACGAGCAGCTCATTCAGATTGTATGGCAATTCAGTAGTACCCGTCAACTGCTGCTGTTGCCTAGCAACGCACTGACCCAAAGCAGCGAATTCGCGTTCCGACTCCATGCTGCGCCAAGCGCCTGTCATCTTCGACGTACTGCCGCTGGCTATCATATGCTCGGCGAAGCGCTCACCTACTAAGATATGGTTAAGTGGTGCCGTTAGATTCTGTTGTTGCATTAGCGTGCTAACGGTTGAGAAGATGCGCATAAAGTTAGAAGCGACTTGAGACGTATCGCCGACTACGGCATTGCCGACACGCGTTATCAAGCGCTGATTTTTGCCCGACTGGGCGAAGAAACGTTGCACCTTTTCGAGATTACGATAGAAATTGCGATTAGTTACTTGCAGTTTGGCATAATCAGAGTCCAAGCTCTCATCGCCATTCAATGTGAGATGCATAGCACGGCCGAGGAAGAGATGTGAGTTTTGCTGTGACATCTCGTCAATCCACGTGGTGGGCGGTAGAAGCTCGTCGTAAACGCGTCCAATATTCGAGTAGAGTTGCGCCATTTGTACTTTATCGAGGTAGGCGTGTTCGACAATATGCTGGTAGACGGGCTCGAAGTATTTCTGTGCGAGCTCCGCGCAGTGTGCGTTGCTTTTGTCTAGGCACATGAAAAGGAGAAATTTAATTAAAAAATATTTTTCTTAATAATTTGTTTTATAATTTTAATATTTCGTATGCAACTCACCCAATAGATAGTCAATCCAAATCCAGTTGAGTAGGCGTGTCATAGTAGTTTGCTGCAGAAACCCGAATAGCTTGCCCAAGCGTGTCTTCTCGTGGACCACTACCGTGTCCGTGGCCTTAAGCGGCTTGCCCAGTGCACTTTTAAAATACTTATCCCAATCAATTTGTAGCGCTGCGCCGAATGATGAAGCCTTAAAATCGTCATAATTATACTCGACATCCTCCTCCTTCAACTCATCTTTCAAAATTTCACGACGGTTCCTTTCAAAAGTCAATATCTCCAAAGCGATCAAGCGACCGCGATCCATTTCCACGCCATATGCCGTCAATACCTCACCAATCAGCTGCTCAAACTTGCGCAATGTATAACGCAACACATCCTCCACTTGCAAGTATACTGTACGCTTATTGGACTTGATCTCCACGCGTTGCGTGAAGAAGTAATTGATGCCCGCCTCATGAAAGGCGCTCACCACATCCATCCAGGACTTGAGGCGACGGCGTCGCTGCATCGTGGCAGAGCTATCAATCGCCGGCCAACCGCCACTCTGCTTGTACATGAAGGACTCCTTCAGCTCCTCCACCGAGCGTGCATTCTTGCAGGATTCATAGAATTGTTTGAGCTTCAGCTCAGCATCGAGTAGCTCCTCATTGTTGTTGGCGCTCAAAAATTTATCGAACTTCTCCTTTTCACGCTGCAAACGCGCCTCAAATTGCTCTTTGGTATTATTCACTGTCTTGCCACAGACATAAGCGTAAAAGTCCTGACAAGGACTCTTCTCTGTATCCAGCCAACGTTCGAGTTCGTACGAGAAGCGCAGCACTTCGGTCTCCACATTCACATTGGGCGCTCCGATACCCATGCTGGGCGCAGCAGCTGGTGTTGGCGCTGTGGGCACTGATGCAGCTGTGACTGAAGTCGCAAACAAAGCAGTAAGAGCCAGTAGCAACAGCGCTGGGTGGCGACAGCACGCTGATGACATTTTCAATCCAACACACGGCTTTGAGAGTTGGACCAAATTTTCTAAAACTTCTCAAAAGCGCGCAGCTGCTGCTCGAAAATGCAAACAAAGCACTTTTCGCCTTTCAGTTTATTTTTTATACAACTTTCAAATTAAAATACTTTTCATAGTTTTCTTTCCCTGTTTTTTTTTCAATTCTTTTTCCTGAAGCCAATTTGCAACACCAGCACGCCGCAGCAAATAAGAAAATTTAATTTCGCTTCACACTTGTGACCACAGCTGGTGGTAAGTAAGAGCAAGTCGCAAACGAAAAAAAAAAACCGTTAGAGTATTTTTATGTCAGCCGTCGCTTGTAGCGGCACTTTTGTCTTTCCACTCAGACGTTTTTTGTAAAACTAATGAAAAATTCCATCACTACACACTTTCGCCCACAGCGAACACCAAAGGGGCGAATTTTTGTGGCCTCACCACCAATGACGAGCACGAAACACAAAGCAGCAAATATAAAAAAACGTCAAAGACTCAAAAGTGGCACTCGAAAAAACAGAGCTCAACGCGGCGAGGACGAATTTTCACATCCGCATTTTATTCTTATTTAATATTTTTGAATTCTCTTCACACCACAACAGCCTATTTTGCATCTATGCTTTTTTAAAATTAAATTTCCGTCGCCTTGTCGCGATTTTGTGGCGGCTCAAGAGACACTAAGCACACATAGCTTTGAGCTATTTTTGGTTGGCATGGCTTTTGTTGCAATGCTCTTTTCGTCTGTTTATAATGAGGTAATCAGGCACGTACGTGAATACATATGTATATATAAATGGACATACATATTTATATATATAGATATTTATAAATATATGAAGGCATTTATATTGTAATACTAGACTTGAGATTAGTCGATTTTAGTGCTTGCAAAAGCCGGCTGATTTATTTCTCTAAATTCTCTATGCTGACTGATAAAGCTGGGTTGTCGCAGGTCACATTCGTAGTTGATTAATATTTTTAGTTTTTAATGAAATTAAGATCTTTTTACTTTTTTTCATGTAACATGTGGTGGCTCAAGTCTTATATGTTTTTAATTTTATTAATTTAAAAAGCATTTTCTGTTGGACAAAAATTTAAAAATAATTCTTATTATCTAGTTTATATTTTAAAAGTTTTTTCCTTGCATTCCACATACATTATAATGAGATTTAAAAAATTATGGAAATTATAAATTTCGAGGTTTCCTACTGTCTAAAAGAAAAAAATACAGAAAAATAAATTTTAGTGGGGAATGTTTATTACCATTCGAAAGACTATTCTATGGCATTTAATTTGAGAAGATTCTCTTTTTCAAACCTTAGCTGCAGTCACGTTTCAGGTGGTTCATTCGTTGAGTTCAATTTTCGATGACTCGTTTGAGCTCAACTGGCTTGAGTCGAAATGGTATTCTCCGAACAGACGATATTGGTGGCCAACCGACCGGCCCAATGTGTAAAATTATCTGCACACCAAAGTGTGCACTCAACAAATTCACCAATTAATGCGATTCGTTGGAAGTCGCCGAGAGCACGAGCTTCAATTTTAGTCATTAAATAGTCGGTCATCATTGGCGGTTACGCTCCTACCTTCTCACAAACCTCACACAATGCCCTTGTTTTTCCGATTAGTAACAGCTCTTGAATCTCTTCAGTTTCTTCTTCGTCTCGTGCTTGTTTACATACTCATTGAGCCGCCAGTAATTGGTTCTGCCGTACAAAACTGTTGTTGTAAATTTTTCAATATTTTTATAAAAATATGTGATCTGACATAGTTCCATACAACTTAAAACCACGAACACTTAAAAACAAAAACCATTGAAAAAGCATAAATGTATTTTTTTTTTAACTATTTTATTTCATAAATGACAACTAAAAGTTTATAAAACAGAAGTGACTAATTTTTTTCTTCCGGTGAATGATTCAAATACTTCAGTTTAACTCAAAGAAAATAGCAAAACCAGGGTCTCAAAATAAAATTTAAAAAAAAAAAATTATAAACTTTTTTTCCTACGCAATGAAATATAATCCACCAATTGGCACATATTGAAATTCTCCCACATAGAACTTAAGAGCTACCACTGGAGCCAAGTATTTAAATAGTAAATACGTATAAAAAAATTTTAACATTAAAAAAAAAAATTTAACAGATAAGCATAACACAACAACCTAAAAAAGAATAGTAAAAAAATTAATCAAAACAAAATTTGTGATCTTGACCAACATTTCGTACTATTTGTATATATGTACAAAGCATAGGCTCGTAGATTGTGGAAAAATTCGTTATATGCTTGGAAGTGTGTTTGTGTACATATAGCAGTGCTGATAAGTAGTCGCGCCGCATAAAATAATATTTAAATATTTCTCAAACATTTGCTCGTAGCACGTATTGTTTATTTATTTACTTCTTTATTATTTTTATTTTAATTTTTTGTTGTTCATGAAAATGTAATTTTGTAATGAGGCTGATAAACTTGCGCCACTCCGAAAATCAATAAATCATAGATTATCAACCATAATCTAGACATAATTAAGGAAATAATTATAAGTTAATGAAATTATTTTTTTAATTAAATTATTATTATATAATTTTTTTTATTTTTATTGAAATAAAAAGTAAATGCATGCAAATTTTATATATTTATTTTTGGCCTTATATAGGTAACTTAGCTATATTTAGTTATTACATATTTTCATATAACAAAATATTCAATTTTTGCTATAAATTTTTTTGAACTTATTAAGCTTAGGTTCAGCACACAAACGATAAATATAATATTTTATAATAAGAGTCTTCGGAATAAAAAGGACCTAAAAAAATAGAATCTATATTAAAAGGATAATGAAGTTAGCAACTTTTTTAGAACGCGTAATGGAAATTTTCTCCTCCGATTTGTGGTTTTGCGTCTTGACGTTGGACCAACAGTTTATACTAAGCCGCCTCCGAAAGGCTGATGGTTTTTTTTTTCAAATTATAGTATATTTTATGAAATTCTTTTATATTCAGGCGAAAAATAATTGTGGAACGCCTTGCAGGAATCAGCTTACACTGAGCTAATTATTTTGCCATATCTGTTCTAGAATTAGAAAATGCAAACATATTCAATACAAAATTCAGATGAATTCAACAATTCTAATATCTTGAATGAAAAGAACATTGCCTACAATTAGGCTCTTTATCTTTAAAAATATTTTAAATTCAAGAACTATCTTATTATATGAAAGAATAATAAGAACTCACTTTTTTTTTGGAACTTCTTCGCCTGCAAAAATAATTTGGAAAAACAATAATAAAAAAAATGCTTTTGAAATCAACTTTTTTTTTGTTTCAAATCCAACTGTATGTTATATCAACACAGTTTTTTCCGCACTAACTCTTAATTGGTAGTCAAAATGAAAAGAAGCTCATTATTTTAGAAACTACTTTCCTATTCAAACATGCCTATGTGTACATAAAAACATAGTTCTTTCAAAATTTTCTATTTATTCACCTTACACATAGTGACTTCAGCTTTGTTTCATTGTTCAGCTTGTGCGTCAGTGGGTTTGCGTTCATTTTTACGAATTTATTACGTACTTCTTTTTTCAACTGCCTTTGTAATAGATTTTACGGTTTATCTTTTTTTTTTAATTTATACAATTTTTCTCTTTCTTACTTATATATTTTTCTTTGATATTTATTTTTCTTTGCCCTAAGCAAACCTCTTAGTAAACTGAAAAACTGACCGGCTCATCACAATATAATGAGCGAAAAATTGCACAATTTCTACTGGCGCCAAAAAAGAAAAATAAAATATTAAAAAAAATATGTTTATGAGAGTTGTTGAAGCGCAAGCTTTGCTGCAATACCATTTCATACATATACAGACATTTTAAATTTTTTTATATATACTTCTTATTAGCTTTTCTTTAAAAACATCTTTAATTTTTCTTTTGAACTGTGTGAAATTATTTTTCGTTGCTTTGCGCTTTTCACAGTAGCACTATAACTGTGTGCCCGTTTATATATATATGCACTTTATTTATATGTTTTTATCCTTTTTTTGCCCTACGCCAACATCATATGATTGTTTACTTCAATTTCTGTACATTTTTTTCACTAATTGGCTCCGAATATTTCTTTCATATAATTTGTTATTGTTGTTTTTTTTTTTCTGCGCCTGCGAACTGTAAGCGCGCGCCAGCAGGAAAATCCTGAAAAGATGTAGAAAAAAAGTTGTAAATAAAAATAAAAATAATTTTTTTCGCACACCAACACCAACTGTTGTTTATTTGCTAGGCAATTAAATGGCCAACTGCTTCCGTATATGTATGTTATGGTGTGTGTATTTGCATAAAATAATTTTTTCACTATTTATGAAACTCATATTTTTTAATAATCATCTTGCAATGCTTGTACATATGCTTGTTCATATAACTATATATATATATATATATATATATATATTGACCAACACTCTTAGCTACTGACTAATAAACACAGCTGTGCTTCTTTGCCAATCGCCCACCACTTGACCCACCCAGCTCAAGCGTAGCCACTTATGAGGGCCAAGTTAAAAAACTGCTTATGAACTGACCTGTAAACTACTTACACACCAACATACTAATATTGAAATACTAGTTCTTTTTTCACAATATACAATATGTATTAAAGACCTTAACACACACACATGCATATTAATATTTTATGCTTGGCCTAAAACGGGCATATTAAGCAAAACATAGTCTCCTTTGACCACCTCTGCTATGGCATTTATTTACCATATTTTTCATTCTGTTTCTATATTTTTCCAACACTTCTCCACCACTCTTGTAGGTTTTTCAAAACTCTCTAGTGTATGCTTCAAAGCTCAACGAGCTGAAAGCATTTCAAATCGATTTCCTTTTATCTATTATGCTATCCGCCACAATTCGCTTTTCTTTTCAGTACTACGGCAATTATATCATTGGACGTAGGACCCTCTTTATTACAAAGCAAACAGCTGTCATACTTAAATGCTTACACAAGCACTATACGAGTAGATACATAACTCTGTGTACATATATATACATATATATATATATAACTTGAGGTATCTATTTATAAAGAAAAAACTGCTTGCTTGCTTACCTTCGTTTCAATAATGACAGAAATTGTGTTGGTGACGCAAGGCAAAAGAAAGAAATTACATACACAAATATAATATAAATACATATGTATGTATGCACATGAAAAAATATTTGCAGTCATTTGTGGGAAGTCAATGGCGGTGGCGAGCTATTCAATTGAATAGTAAATAGCAGTGGGTCGCTCTCGACTGCGAGTTCTGTGTTGAGCGAGATGAGTGGACACTTCAAAGTAGAAATAATTCGTATTTGATATTTTATGTATGTATGGGATGTAGAAAACTGTGTGGAGGTGGTTTTAAAGAGCATATCTTAGACGTCTACATCAAAAGAAAACAAAAACGATTTTTTGCTATTACAACAAAATTTTTTTTTGTATTTAGCACTTATTAAAAAAATAATAATACATCTTAAAGCTGGTTTTGAAGTTATCAATTTCTTCTTTCCTTGCCAATTAGCTACAAGAAAAGTGATCTTTAGCATAGTTTTAGGAGTTAAATAAACAAAAAAATACAAATACATACATTGTATATCATTTTAATTTTTAACCTTCAAGCAAAATCTCTTTCATTCAAAATAAATAATTTAATGGAAAAAA